TGATGTTAAAAGCTCAGTGATAAATTCATCGAAGATAAGAAGATGAATGACAGTAAGAGTGATGACGAGAGGACAGCTGATAAAAAAGCAGACGAAAAGCATCAGGACCACGTGATCAGTAATAAATCAGATTTCAAATTCAGACGTAAACAGGATGACACTAAAAATGACGTCATCAAACATGATGCTGTTGCAGACGTCGTCGTCGTTGTACCCGATGCAGCTGATGCTAAACCCTTCAAAAGCGTGAAGCACAACAACTTCACTAGCAACAATATATTCCTGAATAACGATAGCAACTTGATTAACAAAAGGAATAAGGATGATGCTAGTCCGGATTCATCCAAACATCCGTCTGATACAGCAGCAGCAGTAGTAGCATCAGCAGCAGCACCACATAAAACCCCGTTAGCACCCTCGCTCACTAATTCATTCCTACCTCCTGTTATTAAAAATGTGAAAGTTTTATCAGCAACATCGCCTGAGACATCATCGGCCTATAATTCTCTGGAAAAAACCAAAGATGTTGAGAAAAAATCTGAAATGGAAGCCAAAATTGAAACTAAAATTGATAGTAAAATTGAAAGTAAAGCTGAAGCTGAGCACACTTCCCAGCCAGCATCGAAACCGAAACTACCGGAATTGAAATCAGTCGAGAGATTTGTGAAAAAGATAGATGAAAATGATAAAAAAGAAAATAAGGATGAAGAACTGGCGAGACGCAGCTTCAAGAGTAGCGGCGTTAAAATGAGTTCGAAATCCTTTAAATACCCTCATGTAGATAATCCCGAATCAGATAATCTCAACAAGTTTGGCAAGAAGACCAACAGGTTGAATTCGGTTGATGCCGCTGAATCTCAGGCAACTGCTGCAAACGCTTCATCGACTTCTTCTACAACCGCATCACTGCTGCCCTCGTGTACGCCTGCTCACTTCTCTAGAAACAAAGAGTCTTTAGAATCAGCAACAACTGTGCAATCAGCTGCCGAGAAAGTTAAAGAAAATGACACAATACCATCTCAGCCATCTACATTTTCGTCCTCTTCGTCCTCTTCTTCGCATCCTAATGATGCTTTTGAGAGCAGAAGAAACATGTTCGGCGCTAGATCAGTCAAGCCCACTGTCAGCACTACCGCGTCATCATCGTCGTCGCCATCAACAGCTGCTACTACATCGCCGATATTGCAACCCTCAGTAAACACAACATCTACTACACCGTCTGAGAACAAAACCTCACCCAACATAGCTAAGAAGCCAGCCAATCAACTTCGCTCGGACAAACTGCCATCATCCTCGACAGCCAATGACAAGCAAGATCATGCAGCTCCTGTCCAATCAAATTCTAATATTACAAAAAAGGAATTCCCTGGCAAGCAAATAACCCCAGGAGCCCCTGGTTCACCCCCTCCTGAACCATTCAAACCATCGTTGCTTGCCTCCAAACAACCAGCTGCAAAATTCGGCAGTTTTAAAGATAGAGGCACTAATAAATCTCCGTCGTCGTCAACAACAACAACATCATCCTCTTCGTCGTCATCAGCAACAACTACAACGTCTGCAGCTGCTTCGACAGCTGCTAAACTGAATGCCACATCAACAGCTACAACAACAACATCAGCAACAAATGTTATAGTATCATTGAAAGATGTTAAGCTGAACATCTCCCCTATAGAAAAGAATGGCGCCAATAAGGTTTCAGACGTTCAACTAAAAACTGTCACCACTAACAACAACAACAACTCCAACAACAACAATAATAATAATGCCCCATCGAGAGATAAATTTCCAATCGCAGCAAGCAGAAATCTCGCGCCAACAACTTCTACAGACAATAAAAACAACAGCAAAACAGCAGCAACAACAACAACAACAGCTTTTGAGAAGACGAACGATCCCAACAACGGCAACAATGTGAACGCTGTCTGCAGTAGTAAGAACCTGTTTAAAACCACATACACTGCCAACCTCAGCAAACCTAACGCCAGCAGTACAACCAATGTTAATCATAGCAATGCTACTACTGCTGCTACTGCTACTACAGCTACTACTGCAAGTAACGCTAGTGGTAATGCTAGTAGGGATGTTACTAGTACTGCTAAAAATAGCGCTACTGATGCTATAAATAAACTTCGGAAAACTCCAGCTTCTGCCGGCTGGAAAACAGTTTGAAAAATGAAATAAAAGAAAAGTAAAAGAAGGAGTGACAAAGGATGAAAGAAAGAGAGACAGGCAGAGAGAGAGAGGAGAGGAGAGAGACAGATAAAGATAGAGAGAGAAAGGGGGAGGGATTATATCCTAGTTAGAGTTTAGATGTGAGATAGTTTAGTTATAATATCTTGTAATATTAGTAGTAATTTGACCTAATGTGTATATAAATAACACTAAAATATGTATGTGTGTGTGTGTGTGTGTGTGTGTGTGTGTCCCTCTGTGTGTGTGTGTGTGTGTGTGACTGTGTGTTTGTGTGCGTGTTTGTGTGCGTATGTGTGTGTGTGTGTACATGTATATACCAAGATGAACGCGAAAATATCATGTTTCCAGTAACCAACATTCAACTATTTATCTATCACCACCACTATCTATTCTTCCATTCATTCATTTGTTTACGTTCATTTTCACCTTCTATGAATTATATTATCGACTGTACATACGCACGTGTATGTATGTGCGTATATATATATTTTATACATATTATTATATATTTATATATATTTATAGAGAGAGAGAGAGGGAGGGAGAGAGAGAGAGGGGAGAAAGAGAACCATCATTATTACCATCATTATTATATTTTATAGGTATTATACATTTATTATTATCAATCAATAAAAATCCATTTCAATTGTAATTCCATTATACATGATTATATACCACAAAATTATATATATATATATATAATTATTAAACAAATAAATTTATATATGTGTATATATATGCTATCTTTTATTAGATGTTTTAATTATATGTATATATATATATGCATATATATATATATATATATATATATATATATATATATATATATAAAATATATATAAAAGGCATATTTGGCACATGTTGTATCTTTGTGTGAGTGTGTACCTGTACGTATATCTGGGATTGTGTGTCTATGTATGTGTCCATTTGTTTGTGTATGTATGAATCTATGTATATGTGTTTGTCTGTGTGTGTGTGTGTATACATACATATATATATATATATATATATATGTGTGTGTGTGTGTGTGTGTGTGTGTGTGTGTGTGTGTGTGTGTGTGTGTGTGTGTGTGTGTTTTGTCAGCTTATTAGTTTTCTCTGCACCGTTCTCTAATACTCTATCAACTACATGTTTTGTTATAATCGCGATATTTCAATATCATCGTTACCTCCATAAAAAAAAGAAGATATATACATATATGCCATTATGTATGAACTTTTATCTTTTTTTGTATCTTTTTGGTATCATCTGGTATCTTTTTGGTATCATTTGGTATCTTTTTGGTATCTTTTTGTATCGCATTATTTCTTTTAAAATTCACAATTACGATATTTCACTTGAACGGAGTAAGGATGTGCTTTTCATTTCTGAATATTCCTCGTATTAAATTCAATCAATCAGTTTATTATTGATTAGTTAATTATATATATATATATATATATATATATATATATATATATATATATATAGAGAGAGAGAGAGAGAGAGAGAGAGAGAATTTTAATTAACTCTTCTTTTTTTAATTAATAATTTTAGTTAATTTAGTTTTAATTAAATTTTTTTTAATTAAGATGATGTTTTCGTTTTTTAGAGTTCTAGGGTTTTATGTTTGATCTTTTTGTAATGGATTTTAAATTTTTCAAAATCTCTTTTTGACAATGAAATTGAAAGAAAGGGAGAGATAGAGCGAGAGATAGATGGATAGAGAGAGAGAAGAGAAAGAGGGAGAATATTGAATTTTATTTTTTCAATTTTAATCACTCCCTTCAAAATCACTTTTAATTTTAAATCTTCATATTCAGTTTTACGTATATATAAATTTAAGATGTGTTAATGCTTTTGTTACGTTAAATAATTATAAAATTTATTTTATCAACTTATAATTGACTAATTATAATATATATAATATATCTACTTATATATATATATGTATATATATTTATATATTCCAATTTGCAGGACTCTTTATTATATATGTGTATATTTAAGTATATGTATGTATGTGAGTGAGTGTGTGTGTTTGTGAGAGAGTATGTGAGTTTGTGTGGTGTGTGTGTGTGTGTGTGTATGTGTGTGTGTGTGTGTGTGTGTGAATGAGTGGGTATGCGTGTGTATCTATATGCTCATTTCATTTTCTTTTTCTTAGTCCATTTTAAGTTTTTACCTTTACAAAAGGCAAGAAGTGTTCTATATTTCTTCATTCGAAATAATAACTTTATTCTATTTTATTTTACTGGTGTTTTTATTGAAATAAAATGATGATGAATTCCTAATTAGTGCTTTTGGGGGGTTTTGTTGGTCTATTTTTAATCAAAATGTAAAGAAAATTAGGATGTTTTTGATTAGAAAACGCTTTGTATTGTATGGTATTGTATTGTACTGTATTGTATTGTATTATATCATACAAAGCATTGCACTAAGTAGTATAAGAGTAGGCTTGCTTGCAAAATTACTTGTTGTACAATTTTATTTTACACGTTTGAATGCGCACCAAACAAATTGAAACGAGTTAGGCGTGATGTAATTTTAGTCAAAATTTGTATTGTCATACTTACTAAAATGACATCATTGCTTATCCTATTTATAGCCGTTGGCGCATGCGTACTGCTCGAAATCTGTTTTTAAAGTTTTTTTTCTCGTATTTTCATTTCAGCCGCTAAAGTTTTGTGACATTAACAATAATGAAAATATAATTAACAAATGAATGAAAATTAATTAAATTAAAAATTAGTGAATTAGTAATGAAACGTCATTAAAACTAAATTAGATTGCATCGATGAGAATTGGCAATTTGAATTTGATTACTCCCTACTAAGAAATAACTAAGCGAAAATTGAATTGGCAAACCACACACTAAAATTTCTTTGGAAACGTATAACTTGTTTGTTTATTCAACAAAATATTATTTATCTTTCACAGAAGATCATCTAGTTTCCACCAGCATATATGAATTCTAACTGCACTACGACATTCTCCTAATAAGTAATAAGAACGTTATTTACTCTCACCGACAACGGCAACAACTTATTACCGAAACTAAACAATGGGGGCCTTCTTAGATAAACCAAAAACCGAAAAACATGTTCAATCAGGTTCCGGCAACGGCTTGTCATACGCCGTCAGTAGCATGCAGGGCTGGAGAGTTGAGATGGAGGATGCACACTCAGCGATCATAGGCTTACCTGGCCGACTTAAAGATTGGTCTTATTTTGCTGTATTTGATGGACATGCTGGGTCTCGTATTTCTAGCTACTGTTCAGGGGAACTGTTGCAATCAATCATAACAAACAACGACTTTCTTGGCAAACAACCAGAGGAGGAATCAACTGGCGGAATTTTAGAGCTTCCGACTGAAGAGCAAGTGAAAGTGGGGATTAGGACCGGGTTTCTTGCTCTTGACAAAAAAATAAGGTATCTTCCTGAGACAATCAGTGGAGAAGATAAAAGTGGAACAACTGCTGTTTGCACTCTGGTCTCACCTACTCACATCTTCCTAGCAAATTGTGGGGACTCGAGAGCTGTTTTATCGAGAGGGGGCCGACTAGCGATTGCCACGCAAGATCACAAACCAGCCTCCCCAGCTGAAAAAGAGCGCATAATCAATGCAGGAGGCAGTGTCATGATTCAACGAGTAAATGGGTCACTGGCCGTCTCACGAGCTCTGGGAGACTTTGAATACAAAAATGTGCAAGGAAAAGGTGAATGTGAACAATTAGTGTCTCCAGAGCCAGATGTTTTTGTGAAGGAACGAACGGATGATGATGAATTTCTGATTCTTGCATGTGATGGCATCTGGGATGTGATGTCAAATGAGGAGTTGTGTGACTTTGTTAGAAGTCGACTACGACTTACTAACGATTTGGAAGCCGTCTGTAATTCGGTCATTGATACCTGCCTCTCAAAGGTTTAGTTTTGTTGAATTTTTTTGGGGTTATATTTTCTTCACTTTGTATTAAAATTTATTCTTATGTTCAAATAACTTCAGTAAAATGTCATTTCATCAAGTGGCATGTTAGAGAACACAAAAAAACGAACAAAACAACACACGTACATCCACGCACGCATACACACACGCGCACACACATATTAAATAGGGTAGCAGAGATAACATGAGCATCATCTTGCTGACGTTCCCCGGAGCCCCAACTGTCTCAGATGAAGCAAAAGCCAATGAAGAAGAACTCAATAAAAGATTAGAAAACAAAGTTAAAGGTACTTGCTGTATTAATACCTTTGCATTTACATACATACATACATACATTTATACATACTTACATACATACTACCATACATACATACATACATACATACATACATGCACACATACATACATACATAACATTATGTCATACACACCTACATAGATATGTACACACATGCATGCATAATTTATTTACATATAAGGACACACTCACATACATTCAGACATACAAACAAACAAGCATGCTAGAAAAAACTACAGTGTTACCTCATTTCATCTTGGTTTTTGGCCCCCTTATAATTGGTATTTTTAAACAATATCTGTTATGTTTTTAGCTTGTATCAGTTAGAGAGAGAGAGAGAGAGAGAGAGAGAGAGAGAGAGAGAGAGAGAGAGAGAGAGAGAGAGAGAGAGAGAGAGAGGGCAAATGCATTTAAAAGTATTTGGTGTATAAATGATGTACATTGCAGAGATAATGCAGAACAGCCCTCCGGAAGCCACCATGCTACAGTACGTCATGCACCTACTAGCCATAGAGGACATCGAGGGCCTGCCACCTGGTGGAGGAATTAATGCCAAGTATGTTTTTGCGTGTCTGTGTTTGTATGTGCGTCTCTGCCTGCATGTCTGTGAGGGTATGTCTGTATGTTTGTTTTTATGTTCTCTATAAATGGCCAGTATATGAAACGGTTGCAATTGTTTTTTCTCATTCATCTCGTCTGATTTCTGTTCGTCTGTAATAAATTTTAATCAATATTCTTGGTCATAACTGGATTGATTGATTATAATTACAAATTAATTATAAATTAATTAATTAATTTTTTGAATAAATCGATCGTGACTTGAAAATGTTGACAGGAGAGATACTATCGAGGAAATAATAAACAACATCGCATCGTGCAAAGACTAAAGGTCATATCTCTATCACTATTATTATTATTATCTATAATTTATATAATTAATACTGTTTATCGTCGTAATTAGTAAGATTTGTGACAGATGATGTTCTTATTTTTTTAAATTTTAGAGTTTTAAAAAAAATTTGTTTTCTCTTATTTAGAAAGTTTTTTTAATGGGATCTGTTTTTAAGTCGTTTGTGTATGCGCGCGTGCATGTGTGCGTGCGCGCGCGTGTATTTATCCTCTTTATATAAATGTATATATATTATTCCATTTGACTATAATTTTTCACTGGGTGAACACTATTTTGAATGTTAATAATATATTTTTATTTTCACAGGTCACTGAAACTTTACCCATGAAGAAAGAGAAGTTTAAAGATTAAAAATGAACGATGGATAGACAGATAGATAGAAGAGAAGAGATCCATAAGGAAATAATATGAGAATATGATACGCTAAACATTAGTCCATCAACATCATCTCTTATTATTACTTTTATTATTATTATTATAGTTCATAATTATTGTTAATAATATTATTATTATGACTTTTTGTTTTCATTGATTTGGGCATTGACGCGTTGATATGACATTTCTAACAAATAGCATCAGTAATTATTCTATTATCTTCACATCCATCACCATAATTATAACTGTTATAATTATTAATTAATTATTATTATGATTAGTGGTAGCAGTAGCAATAGTATTATTACTTTTTGTCATCTTAATTCGATAATTTTTTCCTCCTTTTGTTTATTCTTTCATTTGGACAATCTTAAAACTTGTTCTCAAGTCATTATATTAATTACCATTATATTTTTGTATAAATATATGTTTATGTATGTAATTTGAGGTATATAAATACATATATGTGTATATATACGTATGTAATATATATATATATATGTGTGTGTGTATGATTTAATTTATTGGCAAAAAGATAGAAACCTGTATATAATCTAGGTAGTGTTTTTTATGTTTGTTTGCGTGTGTGCGGGCGTGTATTTACTGATTTATACTTATAAGAACGCGTTACCGTATTCACTTACACAAATGTAACTTTGAAATGAATGTGTAAATATTATATACGCGATAACTAAGGTACAATTCTATAATACAATACATGAACTCATTCTTCACTTTACGCATTAGAAGATGCGTTAAATTGACGATTATTTTAAATTTTCTCATTACTACATTGTTATATATAAATAATTATTCTTCATTTCTACTGTTATTCCCATTAATACACGCACACAGACAGAAACTCAATATATAAATACCGTAATAATATTAAAAATATAAATGAAGTTGGTTTGTACACTAAAGTGTAGATATTAATTCACCCATACTCTTATGCGTGCATATTTATACAAGTTTGTATACATGTGTGTATATAGTATTTGTTTCACTGTGTGTGTGTGTGTATTTACGTATGTTTGTATATGTGCGTGCGTGTGTATGTATGTATAGTTATGAACTTATTTTCTAATGGGGAAAATACCGTTATAGACTGTTTTTATTAGTACTGTATGTTAATGTTTTGTATGTATGTTTATATGTATGTATGTTTGTGTATAAGTATGTAGTTTCGTTTTTTACTTTGTATTTGAAACAAAACATTGATAGTATGATATGACACGCGGGCAGGTATAATGTTAGAGGATGTTTGTACGAAGGGAGAGATGGAAATTTGTTTCCCCTCTCATACTTGTTTTGCATACTCTGTTACTATTCTCTCACCTTTTATTCTTTCACTTTCTCTCTCTCTCTCTATCTTATTTCTGTCTTTCACCATCTATTTGTGTTCTCTCTCTCTCTCTCTCTCTGTCTCTCTCTCTCTCTTTCTCCTCTCTGTTCATCATCATCTGACAAGCATTGTAATAATACTGCAAAAAATTAATAGTACACGCACACACACACAAGCACACTCACACAAATACATAAAAACCTACGAAGGCGCGTTGTATTTAGCTACACCGCCCATACAACTAAATAGACTTTTTAGTATTTTTTTTGCAATGCAGAGGAAGTAAACTGGTATTATTATTATTATTATTATTGGTGACGATGATGATGAGTGCATGTTGTGACGGATTCTGCCTGCGCCTGTCTTCTGAGAGTCTGATTTTTTTTTAGGGATGATCATAAGTAAAATTATTGTTTGATGGATTTTTTTATTAAATTATTATTATTATTAAATTATTATTATTACAAATAGATTATTTAATGATAGCTGTGGTCATCATAGGTGGTCATCGTAGTATATGTTGTGCTTGTTCCATTTCAGAACACTGTCCGGATGATTGGCTGGCCTGTCAATCAAACCTGGAAAAAATAATTTTTTTCAGCAAAAAAAAAATGTAATTATTTTTATATTTTTATTTGTTATTAACAACCATAAATAATAATAATTATTATTGTTGTTATTATGATTGATATTTCAATTATTATATTGTTAGATGGTTATATCATTACAGCAATATTCTAAACAACTGTCTGTCTGTATCTTAGGCTAGTATTTATATTATATTTGTATTATTTCATGATGATGATGACGACGACGATGAAGACAATAATAATAATAATAATAAATGGTTTCATATTTTTGTTTTTAAAATTTTAAAACAGTTGTCTGATATGTAATATTTGTAACAATACGGCTATTTTTACTAATATTCATATTGTATGTATTTATGTATGTATATATATATGTATGTATATATATATATATATATAATATATATATAATTGTCAATGATATTATTGTTATTATCATTAAAATAATACACCATTTTTGTGTAAAACTTAAAAACTCTATATATATATCTACAAAACTCTATATATAAACTTAAAAACTCTATATATAAACTCTAAAAACTATATATATATATATATATGTATTTGTGTGTGTGTGTGTGTGTGTGTATTTACACCAATTACAAACCAGCATGTTGGGCCTGAAATAAAAGTCTCTGCAGCCTGCAATGAGCTTTATGGCACAGGCCGGTTATGTTCTGGGGAAGCACATTTCCTTTTCTGTCTAGAAACTGGCTGATTATTAGGACATCCTGTTTAGGAGGAGTGTTTTTTGTTTGGTAAGTTGATATAGATAGATGAATACACATATACTAATACATACATAAACATATTATACAGTTAGACACACACATACTGTGTATTTTACTGGGGCTTTTAATTCTTTGGGACATAGAGCACAATACTCTTTATTCGTGATGGCATTTTCCTGTAGCAAATAGTCAGATCTCTCAGATTCTATGTATTTACCTTCGATCTGTGATTTTTTTCAGATTGAAAAAGTTGATTTAAGTTACAAATTAAATTTTTGAAGATGATAAATTAAATTTTAAATGAAATTATGAATAAATTTATAATTTTAATTTTTTTTTCAACTACTAGGTAGGTAAATTAACAAATATTTATTTAAATTTTAAATCTTAAATGTCTACTTACTGTAGTTACGTTATTCTCTGTCGTAACTACAACTGAAAAATGAAAAAATTTGTAAGTTCATTTTTTAAAACTTCACATTTTAAATTTTTTTATTTAATCCATTAATTTAAATTTTAAAAAGTTAAAAAAATATTAAATACATTTACAACTGTATAAATTATAAAATCAATTAAACTATTAAAATTTAAGAAATAAAAAAAACTAATAAAAAATAAATAGTTTACTTTCTTTTAAAAATGTTTTCTGCGTTAAATGTAAGCTCCGAAAATTAAAATTCACATTAAATCGATTATTAACCTTTAAAAACGACCGTGCGACAATAGACATCTTTAGCGATATTTGAAAGCATTAAACAAAACAGCGAGCATAGAACAAAAATTGGCTGGAACGCTTGACTTCTCTGGATTGTTGGCTTATGTGACCAAGGGGAGGCCTATTTACCAGCATACAACACCTTCTTATGGGTTGAAGCAGAGATATGCAAAGAACCTCAATTTTTTCAACTTTTAATTATTTTCAGTAATGTCTCCCCTTGCCAGGCCCGGAAAAAGGGGGGGCAAAGGGGGCAAGCGCCCCGGGCGGCAAATTTTAGAGGCGGCAAATTTTAGACATTTTTTAAAAATTTGAAAAATTTATTCGCATTTGTTATAATATGGATGATGGATCAAAGTAAATTTGATTTTTTTATAATACTCATTTTTAATTTTTTTTAAATTTTTTTTGGTTTGTTTTTTTTCTATGTAAAGATTAAAATATAAACGCAAATATTATGAGCAGAATCTTTATCTTATTTCTTATTTGTAATCTTTCCCTTATTTGATTTAAAATCACGCCGCGAAAAAGTATCGTATAGTATAGTAGGTTAGTTTAGTCGTTTTCATGTTAGAAAATAAAAATGGATGGCAGAAAAAAACTTAGTGGAGCTGAATACAAAAGAATTGCTAAAGAAAAACGAAAAAAAGAAAGCGATGTGCTGTCACTAACGCCAAAATTAGAAACGTTATTCAACAAATCTAGTGTTAATGTTAGTATTATATAGTGAATAGTGATAAAGAGGGCTCAAAAGAAAAATCAGGTAAATATTTTTATTATTTCAAATTTCATTAATTGAATAATGGACTCTTTTGACACTTATGAAGTCTTGCAGAGAGTCTGCACCATCTGAGGCCATTGCTGAGGGTAAATTGTTAGCAAAAATGAATAATCTAACATCTGCATTTTCAGAAAAGAGATCAAGAATGAAAAGAAAAATGGCTGATGAATTGTGCAATGATGAAGCTCTGACAAGTGTTGAAAATATGTACCAATTGACTATGTTAGAAATCATTGACAGAGTGATTACAGAACTTAGTGACAGATTTGAATCTTTGAATAATGTAAACAGCATGTTTGGGTTTTTGAATGATGTTAAAATTGAAGAAATGCAGACAGCAGATCTAAAAATTAAAGCCGAAAATTTGGCAAATATATACTCAGCTGATCTCAACATTGATGAATTCATGTTTGAAATAGAAAGTTTTAAGCATCACGCTTTGACAGTTGACAAAAGTTTAAAAAAAGCCACATCAAAAGAAATGCTAAGTCTCATTTATAAAGATAAATTAGAAGAAGGCTACCCTAACATCACTACTGCATTGAGAATCTTTCTCACGTTGCCTGTCACAGTGTCATCTGGAGAACGAAGTTTCAGTAAACTCAAAATCATCAAAAACTACATGAGAAGTACAATGGGACAGGGGAGACTTTCCAATTTAAGCATAATTTCAATTGAACACAAACGAGCATCTCTTATCAATTTTGATGATATAATCAATACATTTGCAGCTAAAAAAGCTAGAAAGATTTGTTTCTAATATAATATAATATAATATACGAAACAATTACTTGATAAGTTGACAAATGACATTGTTTGTAATACAAAGTTTTTCAATTTTTCACGTTTTATAACTCTAATATAGTTGTTTTTTTCTATGTCAAGTATCTGTGTTAACATGTATATTGATATGTCCATAAATAAAACATTTTATTAAGAAACATGTAATATGTAATTTAAAAAATGCATTTATACACCTTACGGTAGTAGCATAATAACGTCGTGGGTGAGGCGGCACACTGATTTTTGCCCTCTCTGGAAAATACAATAGTTCCGGCCCTGCCCCTTGCTCCAAACCACATAACTAGAATAATAGGACTAATCGATCAATTCGATCTATCGGTCGGGCTATTCGTCGTGCTTGGATTGTTGGCTTACGAAATTGCATGGATTTTAACGAGCAAGCTAAATTACTTGATTTAATATGCTTAAAACATTGTAGTAATTCTATTTAATTTTAATAATGATTAATAGAATTATGTATTATTAAATTATTTTTGTTAATTTGAATATAAAAATTGCTTTTGGTCCGGTGAAATCCGGTGGCTTACTGAAGCCGAAGGTTGGCTTAGTAGGATTGAACTATAGTCACCCTTTTTTTTACACTATTCGATCATGTTAAAAATTGGTTTGCTTATGAAATAAACGGCCTAAATAAATCAATTGTTATTTGAATAACTATCTTCATTATATTCAATGATTATTTTACATTCTGCTGGTGCTCATAAGAAACTGGCTGCTGAAATCATACGTTGGCTCACAGCAGTGGCTTACAGGGTTTCATAGAACTCTTACGATAGCACTTTTTTGTACATATAATGCTTTAAATAAATCAATATATTCATATCACAATTATTTTTGTCAATATAAATATAGAAATTGCTTTTGTCAGGTGAAAAACAGTGGCTTACTGAAGCCATAGGTTGGCTTAATCGGATTTTTTCTCATGTATACAATACTATGAGATAAATCAATCAATCGGTCGGCCAGCCAGCCAGTCATATATGTGTATATATATATATATGTATATATATATATATATAAAGTAAGAAAGAGAGAGAGAATGAGACAAGGGGTATGCGTAAAAAATAACGTTTCAATAAATAGATAAAAATATACAATACACATACACGCACACACACACAAACAAACTCACACACACATATATATATATAACGCTTGTATTAAATGAAGAATGCAAGCTTTTGAAATGCATAATGAGAACAACTATTTTTATTTCGTTGTTGTTGTAATTATTAATATATTGTTCGTTGATGATGGTTGTGATGATGATGATGATCGTCATCATAGTTAACAAGATTAACAGTATAACGTACTTAAAATACATTGACAGAAATGACAATGTTTATTGTACTGCGTATATATGATGGCAGTATGTATGTTTGTATGTATGTGTGTCTGTGTCTCTATGTGTACATGTTTGTATTCGAAATTTTAGTAAGAAAAGAAAAAAACAACAGTTGCTTTTATTTGACATCATCAAAAGATGAAAAGTGACGAAATTAAAATTTGTTAAATGTCAATTTTTTAAAAAGTTCAGCTTTTAAACAAACATAAAATATCGATCGATAAAAAATAATTATCACGAAACATGAATATTTAGTAAGACAGTTCACAGCATATCATAATGACTAAATCAACATACCAAACAGAAATTATTCATGCATGCATATATACAAAGTAAATCAGGAAATATCCAAAAATTATATAACCAAAATAAGAAACTAGAAACCAGTCAACATTTTACAAATAAATAGATAGACATTATTAAAAAGATTGTTCAAAAATGGTAAAATTTAAGGCGACGACAAAAAAATTGTAGTTTGTTTTGTTGGTGTTGTGTGGTGCTAAGAAGTGAAAACAAAAACACGACAAAAAAAATATTAAAAAGTCGCAAGAATAGTAGTCAGTCACCTACCTACAATTAAATTACTCTCAGGGCCCTAGCTTACCTGTAATGATAACTCAACTCATTTATTTTACATATTTTAACGTTTTAATTTTACTTGAAGCTTTTAATTTATGTTAATGTTAATATTTTACTTGAAACTTTTTAACTAATGTTAAGCCCTAGCCTACCTACAGTTGTTCAACTCATCTCAATCCCTAACTTACCTATGAATTAAATTAAGTCCGGTGAAGAAAATAGAAAGTTGAAGAGAAACATAACAACAACGACACCAAATGAATGGATGTTGTGTATGTGTGTGTTGTATTTATGTGTGTGCGTGTATGTAAATGTGCGCTCGCGTACCCTCCAGAAACTTCTTCACCCACTACGGACGAACCTACATTGCAACGACCATCATCTGACACGCACCGAGGAAATGAATTTTACCGGATACTGAAAAACAAAATTGAAAGAAAAAGTTAATTTTTTTAAATAAAAAACAAGCCATTGAAAAAAAGTAAGAAGCAACTTATCTTACCACGAGATTACCATCATGAAACGTGCTGACTCCCACCACAACCCACCTCTGATCATTCTGTAGACAAATTTTTTTATTGGCTTAGTAGTAAATGAATGTTAAAACGAAAGAACAAACGAATAAATGATTGAGCGAATGATTGAATGAATTAATTAATTAACCAATCTATGATTCAATGAATGAATATAATGAGTCAATTAATGGATGAATGAAAGATTGTGTGACAAAATGAATGAATGAAAAAGATAAAAACAACGAAACTAAACCATACTTCAAAAATCGTCGTTGTTGTTTTCTTCGAGTTGTTATCGGAACGATCATCATGAGACCACCATCTGAAACGTGCTGAACGATCATCATGAGACCACCATCTGAAACGTGCTGACGCCCACCACTGCCCACCTCTCATCAGTCTGTAGACAAGTTATTTTTATTAGCTTAGTAGTAAATGAATGTTAGAATCTTAGAAGCAAAAAATTATAAAATGGAAATAATGGCAAATAAATAATATTTGAAAATAATAAAGAGAGTAAAATGTAAAAAAAACTTACCGTCGTCCATTCGACAAAGGCAGAATGTTGAATGCTTTCCGGTTCCTACGTTGTCCTCCAAAATTGGTGCTAGTCCTCCTCGAGATTGTTGCTGAAACACAGCCCGTGGAATGGAGAAAGAGAAAATTCTCATCAGAAAGCTTAGCGGTGCCTGCAACTCAAATTGCTTAATAAAAATAATCCTATCTACCTATTCAATTACCTTAACTAATCTATATTAAATTGTTAATGGTACGATAGTCGAAAGTCCCCCTTCATTCTCCCTCCTTGCACAGAGGTTCACCGACAGCCAGGGCACCGGATAGTAAACCATTGCCGTGCGGATAGTAGACTACTGCCTTGCGGATAGTAAACCATTTGCCGTCCGGAGGCCGTGCGGGTAGTAGACTATGGCCATGCCGCATAGTAAATCATTACCGTGCAGATAGTAAACCATTGCCGTCCGGATAGTAAACCATTGCCGGTTCACCACTGGCCGCCAAGGCTTACCTCTGACAAAAGACTTCGAAATTCAGAGTCTATCGGCTATCGTACCCTCAACTTACCTATTCATTACAATTAAGCCCTAGCTTACCTAAGATTACAAAACTCAAGAGCCCAATTCATTGGCCTTTCGGCACCCACCCCACCACCTACGTAATGCCTTGGGCTCCAACTTAGTAATAATAATATAAAACTTAAACCCTAAATCTATTAATGAGTATGTGTTACAACGTATCCTTAACCTACCTATTCATTACATTACGGTCCTAGCTTACCTAAAATTACAAAACTCAAGAGCCCAATTCATTGGCCTTTCGGCACCCACCCCACCACCTACGTAATGCCTTGGGCTCCAACTTAATAATGATAATGTAAAACTCAACAACTAACCTACCTATCGATACACTTACAGCGTTTTAATTTACATTACAAGATTTTTCCTAGAATTACATTATTGCTCTTAACTACCTATGAAATTAAATTACTCTCAACCTTAGTAATAATAAATTAGAATGTGTAATGAAATTAAAATTACGCTCAAATACTAACATATGTGTTTATGTATGTATTTGTGTGTGTGTGTGTGTGTGTGTGTGTGTAATACGCTGGTGCGTGTAATGTGGGTGCAAGATAAAATAGAAGAGATAAACTTACGCTGCCTACCTATTCAACTACATTAGTGTTGGATGCTCCCTATCTATCCTACCTACAATTAAAATTAGGCCTATCTAACCTACCTATATAGCTACTTAATGTAATTGTGTGTGCGTGTGTGTGCGTGTGAGCATTCCTACTTAATGTTAAATTACAGAAAAAAAGAAGAAAACGTATCCCAGTCAGGTAGGTATTCTTTGCCACTGAATGAACGAACGTAGCCTGACATCTTCCATGATGAACTCCTCTGGAAGCTTCAACCTGAATGAAATGAAAAAATCCTATTTAATTAATTAATTTGAATGAAAATAGAGAAACGAGCCGCGGTGAAATCCACCAGCCGGAAAAGCCAGCAAACTGGCAAAAAAAGAAACCGTTAAGAAACCGTAAATTCGGAAGTTAGGGTCAAGGTTGAACGCAGGGTGACATCACAACCATTCTGATCCTCCACGACGAACTCCTCTGGAAGCTATAACCTGAATGAATGAACCTGAATGAACCTAGATGGACAAATCTTATTTATTTAATTAATTTAAATGAAAATAGAGAAACGCAAAGAAGCCGACCGGTCGGCAAAGAAAAGAACCGCAAAGAACGGTATCTATATAGGATTTATGCTCTATATAACTCTATATAACTCTATATAACTCTATATAACTCTATATAACTCTATATAACTCTATATAACTCTATATAACTCTATATAACTCTATATAACTCTATATAACTCTATATAACTCTATATAACTCTATATAACTCTATATAACTCTATATAACTCTATATAACTCTATATAACTCTATATAACTCTATATAACTCTATATAACTCTATATAACTCTATATAACTCTATATAACTCTATATAACTCTATATAACTCTATATAACTCTATATAACTCTATATAACTCTATATAACTCTATATAACTCTATATAACTCTATATAACTCTATATAACTCTATATAACTCTATATAACTCTATATAACTCTATATAACTCTATATAACTCTATATAACTCTATATAACTCTATATAACTCTATATAACTCTATATAACTCTATATAACCATGCATACTACCACATTCAATCAATAAAAATCCCACTAAAACCAGGAACCACCGCGTACCTGCTGAATGTATGATGTGAAACAAAACAAAAAAAAAACACAAGACAAAAATCACACCACCAAGTAGAGTAAAAGAATAGGAGTCCCTAACCTACCTATGTAACTAAATTACCTTATGCCCTAGCCTACCTATATAATAAATTAATTTTTACCTCACCTACCTATGCTTCATTAACTTAACTCAAGACTCATGAAGAAAGAGAAAAAGGAGTAAAACAGAACATAAAATACTACCACACAAACAAACATGATATATGTATGTATGTATGAGCAACCGCTAAAGAACCCACCTAAAATATAAAAAAATACAACATACAAACACACAAACCACAGACATGCAAACTCTATATAACTCTATATAAAATAAAATTAAATAAAAATAAACAAATTAAAAAAATATAAATATAAAAAAATGAGATCAGGCACTCCGACTCGAGCGAGGCAGAAATGCCTGATCTGACTTCAACGTTTTTTCAGCTCCTATTTATACTCGTTTCAACCATACATTTTCATCATTTCAATCATTCACATCAATAAAAAACTTATTTAATGTATGTACTACACTATTATACAGTCTTAACCAAAATGCTAACCGTACTTAATTGAAGTCATCGAGCGAACGCCTTCGAAACTTTCTGGTTGGCTGGTTGAATCTGCTATATTGCTTTTCATATAAACATAATCTAATATAATATAATTTAATTATTTGTATACATGGATTCCAGTCACTTTATATATATATATATATATATATAATAAAAATTCATTATAAAAGCAACAGTAATCAGTGCTATATATGTAAGCACGCAGTACAAATTTTTCGGGGAGAATTCAAAATAGTTTGAGACCACACCTTGCTTAACATCCAATTCCAAGCCAAGCCAAGCTGAGCCAATATGCATAAATTCATTATTAAAAACAACAGTAGCCATTACTATATATGTACGCACGCAGTTCAAATTTTTCGGGGAGAATTCAAAATAGTTTAAGACCACACTTTGCTTAACATCCGATTCCAAGCCGAGCCAAGCCAAGCTGAGCCAATATGCATAGACTTATAAGCGCTTTTATATTAAAATTTTGCTCGCTTTTTAAACGAATATCCCAATATAACAAATTCTCCATCCTATTTTAACTTTCTTTGATGCTTTTTAATCAGTTAGGTCATAAAAATCATTAGTGATATCGCAATGAAATCAATTTGAAATTTTTTTTTAATTATTGATAAAATTTTTAAATTGTTGATAAAAATAACTAGTATATATAGTGTAGTAAAACGTTTAAAATTTTCTGAGAGAATTTAAAATAATTTGAGACTACACCGTAACACAATTGTACAATTTGAATGTGTAAATACAACATTATAAATGTATTATAACTACATGTCTATTTCTTTATTTAGTTCTGCCTGTGTATATTTTGTCAAATTTATTTGATAGGAATTGAATATAACCTTTATACCGGCTGATTAACTACCATGCAGTAAAATAACTACTGTTGACACCAACGATTTCGCAACGAATTGCCCATACCATATAATTAGAATAAACTCTTTCAATCAATGTTCAAATTTTTATATTGTCATTTATTCTTTCGTCTTTGTTTCTGTACTAATTTTCGTGTCAGATACAATAATTTAGTTTTTAAGTAAATTTTCATTTTCGTAGCTATACACAAACATGCCTACCTGTTGCATTAAAAATTGCATTAATAATAAATAGAATTGAGAAAATTTCTGATGCATCTTTTCACAGGTTTATTTTCAAATTAACTTCACACTAAAATAAATGTAACAATATCCCTATACTCGTTGAATAGAACTATTTTGTTTTACAATTACATATATTTTATTTTATAGACTATTATAATTTATAATGCTATCATGGATTACCATTTTATTATTAAAAGCAATACTTAAGAAATGCACAAGTTTCTGTAACAGTTTATAAAATTTCAGATTTCCTCAAAATGTAAAAATGCAAAACGATTGGATTAAGTGCATCAGACAGGAAATAAATGATTTCAAATGGCTTCCATCAAAAAATGCAAGAGTATGCAGTGACCATTTCTGTAATAAAGATTATAAGGGTTATGATGGAGAAAGGAAGGTAATGCTGAAGAAAGCATTCCCATGTTTTCAAGTTAGTTATATTTATATGTCATCAGTTACACAAGGACGCAATTCACATCATCATTGTACATTGCAACATTATCTATACAAAAAATATAAAATGCATTCACCAATATTCCATGTATTTTATTAAAACTTAAAAAAGGCATAATGACATTGTGAATAATAAACCCTGTTTAGGACTGGGATCATCATCATCATACCAATCACCATTACAAGTAGAGTTAATTTTATATTAATGCTTAACAAGTTAACTAAATTGGCATAATCAAGTTTTTATATGAAATACACATCAAATATTTAATGTAACAAATAAATTAACAGAAAAATTTCTGGAAAAGTTTAAAAAAATTAGAACATATGGCTCTGATCAAAAATCATTCGCGTTGACACTGCATTTGTATGGGCATAAGGCATATGATTATCTTAGGACAAATGGCTTACATCTTCCTCACACTAGGACATTAAGAAAGTAATCTTGTCATACCTGTTCAATAATTTTAATAAGATTGTTTTAAATAACTATTCTCAATGTCATTTTATTAACACTACATTAAAAGGTAGCTACAAAACATTGATGGTATGCCTGGGGTGATTTCTACAAACCTTATTGACTAATGGTGATGGGGAACCACTGGAACTGTAGGATTATAACATTCAATCTAATCATGGATTGAGAAATCAATCCTTGATATATTTGATAACAAACATTTATTATAATATAAGAATGAAAAATAGATGTAGGTGTAAGGCAAAATCTTACTGGAACTATTATTTGTAGCAATTTATGATTTATTTTTTTATTTATGACTTTATCCATTTTCAATGATACCGATATTTTTAATTATTATTATCCAAATTATACTCATGCCTATATAAATTAATTTGATTGCGGCTATTTCTATGCTTAATTATTTTATTTACTTGCTATAGGTATGCACAGCATTTAATAAATTAATGATAATAATTAATAACACAACATTCTAAGTGCATAAAATATAATAAATTAAAAGTACAATTTTTATAAACCTCGTTGGTTACGGTGACGAGGATTCTTTAAAACTGAATGATCATGATCTAACAAGTCATGGATTGATGAATCACTGGAATCACACATTATCTTTAATAAATTTAATAACAACATGTACTACAATTTAAGAATGAGGAATATTTTGTAAAACATTAAATAAAAAAAATTTAGTTTGAATCACTCATAAGTCATAATTAATAAATTTTAATTAAATTGCAAGTTAGCTTGGGGAGTTTGAAGCTTGAATTGAACAGATTACAAAATTGTTTATTTTATAAAATTGATTGGTAAGTTGTTTAATATATTTATTTAATTTAGTATATTTTTTATTCCTAGACCTAAGCATTGTAAATAAAAATTTTAAAACCAATCAAGCAATAGAATTTAGGATCTTAGGAACAAGTGCTGTTAGTCGTTAGTGTAGTAGTAGTATGTATTAGCATAGTGGTTCGTAGTTTCTAGTAGTCTAATCTGTTAATGTTCGTTAGTGTTATCTGTTATTTATTTCAATTAGTAATTAGAATCAGTAAAGATTAGTTTTAGTTTAATTATTAGAGTTTAGTAATTTAATTACTAATTAGTCGTCGTTTAGTGTTGTTGTGTTGTTGGTGGTTCACAAAAAATTTTTTTTATTTAAAATGCAAAAAGATACTTAACCGTCATACAGCAATATCTATCCCAAAACAGCATCTAGTATCACCTTTTAAAACATTTTGAAATTTTAAATAAAAGCAATATTCCGAAATTAGTAAATATACGATCGTAACTTTTGACTTGGGCGATAAAAATCACCCTCCAACTTTCCTCCGGAAGTAAGCTCCTTGTTCGACCGTCAAAAATGAGCGAAGGCCGTTATATTTATTCTAATTATATGTATGTGACATGCTTATTTTTGGGGGGTTGGTCGATTTGCGACAGTTTGTGACACGGGGGCTCAAAGAAGACGCTAAAAAAGCGTGACATCCTTAAATCATTCATTTGATCAACTAATCAGCCAGCCAATCGACTAATCAATTAATCAATGAACTAACCAATGAACCAAATGAATGAACCAACGAATGAACCAAATGAACGATCGAATATTGGATTGTGACAAAAAACCAAAAACAAATAAATGAGTAAAAAATTATTTGCAAGGTTTGTTGAGGCAGAGATGTTCATTTCATCGTAATTATTTTCAGTTCTTTTAGAAATCATCAAAGTATCTACTTACGTATGGGGTGGGTGGGAACCTCTGAACGCTTGTTTCTTCAATCAAGTCGATCATTTTTTTAATGTATGTGATATATAACTTCTCAATGTACGAAAATAATAAGTAGTAATTGTAGAAAAAAACAGCAGCAGTAGAAGTATTAGTAGCAGCAGTAGTAGTAGTAGTAGAAGTAGTAGTGGTAATAATAATAATCAATACATAAGTAATTGAATTGAAATAGGTATAAAAATACAGTATTAACATAGTTATTAAGTTTTATTCTTCATCCATTAGATAGTTACTACAATCATTTTAATTAATAATTTAAATAATTATGTGGTAATTTTTAAAAAAATTTCTCTGCTTCTTAAGACTTTTCTCCAAAGGGACGGTGGTCACTTTATGAACGCTTCAGCAGGTATATTGTTTGATTGCTGGGAGAATGAAAGAGAAAAAAACAAAAGAATTAGTTTAAATTTTTAAAATTAAATCAAACAAATATATAAATATATCTATAATTATATTATAAATAATTTAGAACATCAAAATTATATGTCTTTATGTGGGCTGTGTATGTGTAAATTGAACTCTACACACTTTTCTCACTTAAGAAAATAAATTTATTTATTATTGATAATTATAATAAGAATAATTATTTATTAATAATTATAATAATAATAATTATTTATTAATAATTATAATAATAAAAATTATTATCTTTAATTAATTAATTACGTGAAGTTCGTGAAACTTGATGGCAGCCTGGTCAAAGATCCAATTATTACCGGACAGGCACCTGAGAAAAATTTAAATATTCATCAGGGATAGTTATAGAATTGGCTAGCTGGCTAGCTAATTATCATAATTAATGCAGGCTGGGGTCATATAATTAACAATACATGACAACTTAGCAGAGCAAATTAGGGCAATACTAGCTAACATTATTAAACATAGTAATATATTCATTAATCTGCTGACCAGGCAAGTTGGCTAGTATAATCATCAGTGCTATTTATAGTACAGGCTAATTAACATATTTAGTATCAGTAATGCTATTTATAGAACAATGGCTAGCTGACCAATCAAACACGTCAAATACTAACATATGGGAGTAATACTCGTTCATTCCTGACATCTGGCAAAACGTTTCAACCATTGTTTTCTGTGTTGGCGTCAAGATGGTTCCATCGAACGATGACGTCATAGTAGCAGCAGCTGAAGCAGCTAGACTAGCTGCTACTGTTGATGACGATTTCGTTGCAGAGGCCGATGAGGATGATGTTGAGTTGGTTTTTTCGCTACTCGCTAGGATGACCTTGTATTTCTGTTTAATTTTTAAATTATTATCACTAATATTACTACAAAAACAATAATAATAATTATTATTATAATCAATTATAATTATTATTCATAATTACCTCAGTCAGTTCATTGTTTAGGTTGGTTATAGTAAGCATCTCATTGATGATTGCAATGCTGTCCAGTGGAGGGGAAATATTAATTATATTATTATTATTATAACAATTTATTATTATTACATTTATCTATTATTTTTTATAATTATATTTATCAAATACTTATTATCAATTGCTAATAATCTTGACAAAAAAATGTTGAAAGTTTATAAGTTCCAGTTTGGTTGTAGATACATTTACACATACATACACGTACATACACACATAAAAACACACACACAAGTACAAACACACATACACAAGTACAAACAAACACACAAACACACACAGGCAGACAAACACACATACAGACCCATCTTTGTTGGGGACAGCCACAACTAATCTATTAAAATGCCTTATTGGTTTGTTTCGAACTGAGGAGGTTGGCGAAGAGGCTGTAGGAGAAAGAGAAAGTAATGATGACGACAACTAAAATTATGATTATAATAATTATGACTATAATTATTATAATTATGAATATAATTATAATAATTATGACTATAATTACTATAATTACGAATGCGAACCGCATTTTTAAAGCGATGACGAACGATAAAAAATGATGACGACGACAATAATAATAACAATAAAAAAAAGCAATCATAATAAAAACAATAATAATTATCATAATAATAATAATAATCATAGAATAAGAAAAATAAAAAAAATATGGCTCTAAGATGACCAACTTTCGATGAAAACTCCATTCAAAGTGAATATTAACAGGCTATGCTGTGAGGAATTGAGCATTATTATCATTAATTACTATGATTATTATTGTTATTATTATAAATAATGTCAACAACAACCAATACTCTAATGGCGACAACTGCCTAACAACAACAACACCAGCAACAATATCAACAATAACATCAACCAAAAAAACATCATCATCAACAACAACAAACATCAACCAAAACAACATCAACAACAACTAACATCAACATGGACAACATCAACAACGAATGAATTTGGATCGTGATTGGTCGGTGGAAGTTTTTTTAACGTGCTGATTATTTCCTCCCGCCCTGATCTAACTCGCAGTAACTTCTCTCCTTGAGGATTATTCAGTGTTTTTGGTCTCGTTATTTAGTGTTTTTGGTCTCGTTGTTTAGCGTTTTTGGTCTCGTTATTCAGTGTTTTTGATCTTGTTATTTAGTATTTTTGGTAATGCAAGTATTGGTGGTAGTGGTGTCGGCAAAACAGGAGCGCGAAAACATCATCAATTATAACAACAACGTCATCATCATCATCATCGGCCTCCCCCTTCTTCATCATCATCATAATCATCTTCTTCACCACAACCATCATCATCATCGTCATCATCATCACCATCAGCAGCTAACGGTCTTCAATCCTCTTTAAATTGTGACTGATCTTTATGTACTCTGATAAGTTTGATTGGTTCCTGCGACGACGATGACGTCATCAATAATAATAATAATAATTATTATTATTAATATTATATTAAAGTAATAATAATAATAAATATAACAAAAATAATAACAACGATAATAACATCGTTAACAAAATCACGAATAACAACAACTTACGTGATTTGGGTCCTATTGAAGAAAGCTGATACAGAGAAAATAGCCTAAATAATTGTTTAATTAAATAAATAAATAAATCAATCAATCAATCAATCAATCAATCAATCAATCAATCAATCAATCAATCAATCAATCAACCAATCAACCGGCCAACCAATTAACCACCCAATCAATCAGCAAACCAATCCATCCATCAACCAACTTGATCATGGTAAGCTCCAGCTAAGCCTTCCCTATTTCCGTTGTCATACAAGCTGTAGTACCTGTGATCCCAAACATCAATAACATTAACAACGGTAACAACAATAGCAATAATAATAATAATAACTATAATAATAATAATAATGGGGCAAAAAATTAGAAGCTTACTGTTCAATGAAGAGGCAGACTTGAGCCCTGATGACGTCATCGTCGAAATAATTACCCTGTTAATAACAATAACAATAATAATGATAATAATAATAATGATAATAATAATAATGATAATAATAATAATGATAGTCATCATCATCATCATCATCGTCATCATCATCATCATCATCATCATCATCATCTGGGTGACCTTAGTGGTGGGAAGTTCGGTAGGCTCGACGTTAAAATTGATAGGTGGAGGTAGGGTCTGTCCGTCCTGAATGAATGAACGAGGGAATGAAAAAGTGAATGAATGAATGAAAAAAGTAAATGGATGAATGAATTCATAAAGGCATGGGAATAGATGAACAAAAGCATAAAGAAATGAATAAATAAAATGAATGAATGAATGAATAAAATGAATGAATGAATGAATGTATTACAAATAAGAATAATGACCAATCTTAGAACATTTGGGAATTTCTGCCTGACAGCACTGTTCCATTGAGGTAGGAGGCAAACATTATTGTTGTATCAACGTCCCATTCATATACATGTTGTATGTATGTATGCACGTATGCGTGTGTATGTATGTATGTACGTATGCGTGTGTATGTATGTATGTACGTATGTATGTATGCACGTGTGTGTGTGTATGTGTGTGTATACGTTAAAACAATATTACTAACAATTAATATCATCCCAATTACTAATACTACCACCATTATCATTATATGTAACCAAAAAGACATCAGCCTGCCATTGTGCAATTGAAAATATTTGAACCCCAGTTACTACATTGGATAGAAGAATGCATGCATGCACGTATGCACGTATGTATGCATCTATGTATGTATGCAATGAGAGGAAATAAAATCCCAGACCCAAAAAATATTCTCATTCTTTTTTTTCATCCTACCATCTCTCCGCCATCATCATCATCATCATCATCATCGTTACTTCAGATATCATTATCATTAACAGGAACATAGCTACCATCATCAGGAATATCGCTATCATCCTCATCATCGTTACCATCAACACGAACGACGCCAATAATAGAATAACGCACACATATATAAATACACACACACACACGTACGCACACACACGCAAACACACACACACGTGAATATATACAGGCATACGCGAACACGTATATACAGACATACGATGACATGCAAACACATTCCCACAAATACATATATATATACATACATACATAAACACATACATACGTACATACATACATACATACTATCATTCATAGATATACAAATATACCAACACATACAAACATGAGTACGTACACACATACATACAAACATACACACATAAACAAGTGTGGACACAACTTATACAAAATTAATTCCAATCTCAATGTAATAATATTATTTATTTATATAATATAATTAAATATATTTAATATTTTCTTGAAATATTTTTTTTTCTAAAATAAAATATCCTAGATGACAATATCATTCATCTGATAGAGGATAAACCCAAAACCTACAAAAATAAACCGCCATATATAAAAAAATAAAATTAATAATAATAATAACAATAATAATAATAACAATAATAATAACAACAACAATAATAATTTTTGTTTAACTTTGGAAAAACCCAAAAGCCATAGTCCCCAAATTTTAAGCGGTTTTTTTAGAGTAAAATTAATGAAAAAAAACACCTATGGTTAATAATAATTTTGTCCCCACATGTTACTCTATCATTATTATTATTGTTATTATTATTATAACAATAATAAATGAATGATATTGTATCTAAAAGCAGCCTACAGCATCGACAACAGCAAATAACTATAGTTCGATTCTTATGACGTGATCCTATGTATCACGGTCAGTATCTCTAATCATCCTATATATCCTAATTATAAATAACAATAATAAATAATAATAATTATAATTAATAATTATAAATAATAATAATAATTAATAATGATATGAAAATGTCTTAAGTATTGCAAAAAGAACTTGACAACCAGAATGATGAATGTCTGAAGTACAACGAATGACAAAGCTGACGACGATGATGATGATGATGGTGGTGGCAAATTAATAATAATAACGATTAACAACAATAATAATAATAGTGATGATGATGGGGGCGATGATGATGATTTAGTATAAATCTGGTGATCATTGATATAGATATGGTTATACTGGATATCTTGGGATGATGATGAAGACGTTGACGATGACGTATACAAATACCAGATGATAACACTGATGATTGATAATAAATCCTTCTGCACTTGTTCCTAATAATTTTTGCATTTTCTTTACAAACTAATTTTTGGCATCTAAAGTTCATCAGTTATTAAATAAAGTTGAGAAAAAAAGACAGAGATAAAGAGAGAGAGAAAGAGGTTCCCCAGAGAGAGGAGAAAGAGAGAGAAAGAGAGAGAGAGGGGGAGGGAGGAGAGAAATGAAAGAAAGTAAAACTAATGAAAGCATATTAAAAAAGTAAGAGAAAGCAAGTGTGTGTGTGTGTGTGTGTATGAGAGAGAAAGTTGCACTCCTGTTATGTTTGGAGGTTGAAATACGAACATTGAAACTCAAGAGAATATGTATATATATATATATACACCTCTCAAAAATTTCAACACCATATAACATAGATGCAGATGGCAGAAGAGAGAGAGAGAGAGAGAGAGAGAGAGAGAGAGAGAGAGAGAGAAAGAAAGAATATAACTTTGAGGATAGAGAGATAGTAAAAGCAGACTAGATAGATAGATGGACGGAGAGACAAGAAAGACAGAAAGAAGGATGGGTAGGCAAAAAATAAATGAAGCTGGAGGTTCATTTATTACAATTTATTGCTTAACTAACGGATGAATGGACGAAATTGGATAAAAGAATTAATGGATAAATGGATGGGTTTATAGAATAGATAGATTAACTAATAAATAGATAGATAGATAGATAGATAGATAGATAGATATATAGATAGATAGATAGATAGATAGATAGATAGATACTAGGATGATAGATAGATAGATAGTAGGATGATAAGATACAGAGTTTGACATTGTTAATGATGTATCTTATCATCAACGTTTTTGTTGATATCTTAAAACTTCCATGACTTTCTTTCATTGTAGAGAATCTGTCACTGAGTTATTGTTGATGATGTAGAGATAACAAGACAAAAATGTTGTTGTTGATGTTGTTGTTGAAGTTTTTTTAAGAAAAAGTTGTTAGCGCTGTTGATTTAGTTGCTGAAGCAGAAAATGTGGTTATAGCAGTAGACGATGTTGTGTCACTGGCAACAGTCTAGTTGTTGCGAAAATTGTTGACGTTTTTTGTTTGACGTTGACGTTTTTCTATGTTGCTTAATGTCATTATAGATGAGATGATTGTTGTAGTTGATGTAGTAAGAGTCAATGTCACGGATGTTATTATTGTCTAAGATGTAGCTATAGCTGAGGCTACTGATGTTGT